TCGCGTGTGAATGCTGGGAGGGTTGCTTCCGCAAACGATGTGCATGTTTCCGACGACCACGTGAACTTTGTCATGGCCTCCTGTCTGCACATTGAACCGTGAGATCACTGCGTCCACTTGTCGCGCGATGGGGACGTGGTAGATGTATGTGTCCTCGCGCAGGGACACGTCAGCAGGCTGAGAAGTACCGCCGAAGCCCCATAGGCTCAAGTAGTTGGCGACCTCGCAGAAGCCGATGCTGTCGCCGAACGGCTTGGTCAGGATGTCTTTCACGTTGATGGATGCTCGACTCAGGCCTTGACGAAACGCACCGACCTCGCACCCAAAGAAAAGGTCAGCATCGACTTCCACGACTATCTTGGCGCAAATCCGCCCGAAGTTGGAGCAGTGAGTCTTGGAGTTCTTCCCCATCATCATGCTCTGCTCGAACCCGAAGTTAAAAGAGGCGACCGTAAACGACGCAGGTTGAGGATCACAGCGAGCAGGCGCGGCCGCAGGCGTGTGTCGGTCTTCCTCCGCAGGCTGAGAAGCACCGCGAGAAGCCGAGGCTGCAGGCCGGTAAGGATAGGGCCAAGGGAGGGCCATCCTGGAAGGGCACGTCCTGAACCAAAGACGGCTGTCAAGACAATGACGATGACGATGACGATGACGATGCTGATGCTGATGCTGATGCTGATGATGATGGCGATGATGATGATTTTGCTGATGATGATGATGATTATGATGATGCTGTTGCTGCTGGTGATGATGGTGGTGGTGGTGATGGTGGTTGAGGTGATGGTGGTGGTTGTGATGATGATGATGGGAATGATACTGATGATGATGATGATGACGATGATGATGATGATGACGGTGATGATGGTGGTGGTGGTGATGATGATAATCATGATGATGATGGTGATGATGATGAGAATGATGATGATGATGAGGAGGAGGAGGAGGAGGAGGAGGAGCAGGAGGAGGAGTAGGAGGATGATGATGATGATTCTGATGATGCTGTTGCTGCTGGTGATGATGGTGGTGGTGGTGATGGTGGTTGAGGTGATGGTGGTGGTTGTGATGATGATCAGTTGGCTCCGGGCATCCAAAATGTGGCCCGGGAATGGAGTTCTGGGAAATAGAAGAGCACGAAGTGGCCTACAGTTGGCTCCGGGCATCCAAAATGTGGCCCGGGAATGGAGTTCTGGGAAATAGAAGAGCACGAAGTGGCCTACAGTTGGCTCCGGGCATCCAAAATGTGGCCCGGGAATGGAGTTCTGGGAAATCGAAGAGCACGAAGTGGCCTACAGTTGGCTCCGGGCTTCCAAAATGTGGCCCAGGAATGGAGTTCTGGGAAATCGAAAAGCACGAAGTGGGCACGAAGTGTGTGACTGTATGCGAAAAACGATCCCCGCCGGCAAACCCCAACAGCCCCCCAACTGCCCCCCAACTGCCCCCAACGGCTGCCCAGACCCCCCTGTGGAGTAATGTTGAAGTAATGTTGAAGTAATGTGCTGCTCTCTTTTGAGACTACTAGAAACCTATCAGTCTTCGATGTTAGGTAAATAGTCAAAAGAATATTCAAAAATAGCTTTCAGGTTTTATATAACATTATATATAGCACTACTTGTAGAATGGAAATGTTTTAATTATATACATGTATATAAGTCCCTTAGCTATTGCCTTACTGCTTTGTGAATTTTCTTCCTGTAGAGGGACAGGCCCGAATTAAACATGTGCCCTTATCCGCACCCTCGCGGTCTTCATCCCGGGGAGCGATGCCGCGGATGCGCGGTCGCACGGATACGTTCCGCGCGGGGCATCCGCGAAGAAACGCCCCTTGTCCGCGGGGTCGCGGCCCAGGGGCCCAGCCCGCGAGGCCGCGGGTACGGATGTGTGCTTTTCGCCCATGACAAGGGACGGCCCAGGGCGGCCCGAGAATAGAAGTTCGAGGCCCGAGACCCAGACATGCGACGTCCTGATCTTTTCAGTACGGCGTCCCTGAAGTCCCGACCCTTTCCCCAGGACCAGCTTCTCATCCTGAATCGTTTCTTGACGGCCCCAGGGCCCAGCGAGGGCCTCTAGAGGCCGAAAGACATAAAAAACCTCCGTCCTGGTTTTAAAACGGCTGGATCATGTCTGGGGACGCCTCCGGGCGCTCTCTCTCGGGCTTTGGGAGACCTCCGGCAGCCTCCAGGGTCCTCTGGCGACCTGGGCCAGGGTGGCCCTGGCTCTTCCCAGGAGGGGGGCTGGACGTCCCACGAGGCACCCCGCAGGAGGGATGGGAGGGCTCCAGAGCAGCCCTGGAGTTTCCATACCCGGACATGCTCGCGTCGTGAGAAGTTCAGGACGGGAGGTTTCTGGCCATTTCCGGCCCTTGCGAGCCGTCGCCGGGCCTCGGGACTGTCAAAATCGACTCCAAGGGAGGGGGGGAGAAACAACAAAATAAAAACAACAACAACAACAAAAAAAAAAAAAAACTGTCCCAGGGAATGGGTCGGGACTTTCGGGGACGCCGTGCTGCAAAAATCAGGACGTCGCACGTCTGGGTCTCGCTATTATTCCAAACCATCCTGAGGTGTTTAAGGAACCGAACTTTATACACCGATGCTTTTTTTCCGGTCCCGCACTGAGATTCGAAAAAAAAAAAAAAAAAAAAAAAAAAAAAAAAAAAAAAAAAAAAAAAAAAAAAAAAAAAAACGGATTATGGTTTATACGGCATCCTGGTGTACACATTTTCTGTTGCTTCCACGGGAAAACTGGGAAACGAGTATACACCACACCACCCCGACGTCGTCCTCGACCCTCAAAGAATCCTGGGATTGAAAAAACAGCCCGCCACCGGTAATGTATAGGTTCCACTATCCGAGCGTTGGGTCCTCGTTCTGAAGAGGCAGCGCCCCGAGCCACCCCCTCCTCTCCTTCTTGCTCTTCCCACTCCTCTCTCCTCCCGTACCTGCCTCTGCCGCCCGCACCCGTCAGCCATCTCGGCACACCCCTGACACGCTTCGTGGCCCCACAGGGGGCTCCACCAAAGGCCCCAGTGGCGGTATTCGCATGCGTCTCCCCCACCCAGTACGACGTCTCACTGCCCCAAAGGGAGCTCCATCGAAGGCTCCAGTGGCAGCGTTCGCATGCGACTCCCCCACCCAGTCGGGCGTCCCATGGCCGCATAGGAAGCTCCACCGAAGGCCTCAGTGGCGGTGTTCGCATGCGTCTCCCCCACTCAGTACAGCGTTCCGTGGCCCCATAGCGAGCTCCACCGAAGGCCTCAGTGGAGGTATTCGCACGCGTCTCCCCCAACCAGTACAAAGCTTCGTGGCCTCATTGGGGGGCTCCACCGAAGGCCCCAGTGGCGGTGTTCGCATGCGTCTCCTCCCGCTCAATGCAGCGTTTCGTGGCCCCCCCCCAGATGGAGCTCCACCGAATGCCCCAGTGGCGGCCCCGCCCCGGTGCGGCGCACCCCTCACACTTTTCGCGGCCCCATAATGGGTTCAACCTAGAGCCCCAGTGGCAGCGCCCTCATGCCAGCCCCGCCTCATATCAGCACACCCTTCGCATGCTACATGGCCCCATGAGGAGATCCCCCGGAGGTGATATCCGCAACGATGGTACTCACAACTGCATATGGTTGGGTCCTTCGCCAAGATCAGTTTCCAGACAGGGTCCCCGAAGTCCCGTCATTCTTGAGGGGTAATGATACGGGGTGGACTGACATCGGGGAGAGACCATCGACATGGAATCGGCGATACATCGCCAGTGGATCGGCGGTAGGTCCCAGATCGTGAATCCGCAAGTTACTGGGCGGGTGCGGCTATCAGACCCCATATCGGCGATCAAACGGCGATTCGGGGTCGATGCATCCCCCCCTTTGCGTATCCCCTCCTATCGTTGCCCCTGACCTCTCTCCAGGACTGGCTCTTCATCCTGAGCCGTTTCTTGGGGGTCGGGGAGCCGAAGAGGGCCACTGGAGGCCGCAAGCGGCGAAAAGCATTCGCCTTGCTTTTTGTGAAGACGCTGGATGTCTGGGGGGCCAGGAACAAGTGTCCCCCATGTAAGACGAAGGCAGAATTGAAACAAAGTCGGACCGAAATAAAGCGGAAATCTCTGAGAATCGGCGGGCTTGGAGGGTGTATCGGGCGCCGCGGCCGCTTCAGAGCGTTCCAGAACGCTCTGAGGGCTTACAGGAACGCTCTGGAACAGGTTCATCTCGATTCTAAGCTTAGGTCGGGCATGTCCCCCTACAGGCGGATGATGGACGAAAAATTAAAAATCTAACAAAAATTTTCAAAGATAATCCAAAAATCGAAAGATCGTCCCCATATCATGTTAAGGCAATTTTCAAAGATTTTTCCTGTAGAGGGACATGCCCGACTTAATTATAAGCCCGTCCGACCATGAGCACCGCCCGCGAGGCCGGGAGGCGCCTCGCGGGGCTCCAGAGCGGCCCTTGAGGCCAATCGGAGACCCAGGGCCCGGGGGAACGACAAGATACAGGCCTCGGAAGAAATAGCGAATACTCATGCCACGTTCATCTGTCAACGCCTCCCCCCTCCCCAGAATGTTCAAAGTTGGTGGTGGGTCTGATGAGTTGCACCTCGACCGCAGTCTCCCCCGCGAGTGCCAACTTTGAGTTTGCGGGGGAGGGCGAGTGTTCAGTAATCGTTTCCCTCTGCCGTACCGATACCCGTGCTGTCAGGACGTCTTCTGGGGTGCGTTCTGACTGGAATGTCGAAGAGAGTCCAGCCGTGGGGGCGAGCCTGGAGATCGGACGTTGCAAAAAAAAATGCAGCATCGTGACGAATCACGACCGGAGCCCTAGGCCCCATCTGCCTGCGCCAGTTTTCGAGCTGGCTCGATCTGCGATGGCCCTGCAGGGCCCGTGAAGCGGCAGAACCGCCCGCGCCGCGAAAAAAAATGGCACGCCCAGACCTCAGGGAGGGCTCTCTGGGACGAGCAGCGGCATCTGCACCTGCTCCTCCCCCCTCGGGCCAGGACCACCCCCCTGGCAGCCCCCGAGCTGTTGCGCGGCATCTGGTCCAGGAACACGGCCACCCGCAGCCGCACCCGCGCCAGCGCTCGCCCCGGGGCGCACGCCGCGGCCACGGCCGCTCGCAGCGGGCACAGCGCGCAGGCCAGCGCGGCCGCCTCCAGCGGAGACCTTCGGCGGTGGACAAACCTCCCTGAAGCAGACCTCCCCTTAGAGAAAACGGCCGTGGACCGAATCCGACGGACCTGGACCCGCAAAAATGGCGGCCGCGACGCCCTCTCGCAAACCGAAAACGGCCAATTCCTTAATCGACGTGTCAGGGTAGGAGGTCTGTCCACCCCCGAGACCTGAACTCGGCGGCCACGCCAGAACAAGCAAGGACGGCACAAACAGAAAGTTCGGAGCTCCGCCCAGTTTGCTTGCATCGGCGCGGGGCCCCCGTCCCTGGCGCGCGGAGCACGCCAGGGGGCGTCGCCGGAGGCGCCGCCAGGGGGGCCCAGCGCAGGTCCAAGAGATCCGCGTGGAGCGCCGAAAGGTTGTGTGTTATGCCGTCGTTTCTTCTTCGACATGCCCTCGAAGCGCGCCCGGTGCGTCGGCTTGCGCGCCCCGAACCAGAAGGACTGCACGGACTCCGGGAGGGCATCGTCGAGGGCTCCACCGGTGGCCTTCGGGAACCAGATGCCATGGAACGCTCGGGCCGCGGCCAGCCAGCCATCGGCGTCCATCCGGGCCGCCGCGCAAGAGGTCCTCCTCCTCTTCCTCCTCCCCCTCCCCCTGTTCTTCGTCCCCCTCCTCTTCAGTACGATCCTCGTCAACAACAACATCCACCTCATCATTGGCATGATGATACGCGCCATCCTCACTCCCATCCTAACCAACGTCAGCGATGATCGTCATCGCCATCGTCATCATCGTCGTCATCATCATGAGCCTCATCATCCTTATCAGCGGCATCATCATCATTTTCAGCATCATAATCCTCATCAGCATCATTATCATCATCAACAACAACTGCAACTGAACATCATCATCATCATCATCATCATCATCATCATCATCATCATCACCATCATCATCCTCATCTTCACCATCGCTCGTCATCAGCCTCAGCATCATCAGCAGCAGCTGCATCATCGAAACCAACAACAACCAATCATTTTAAGACTGTTCACTCGTATCTGCTCGCGTGCCATCAGACAAGTATATTCCACACCCACGATACCTGCCCTCTTCGTCTTCGACCGTACCCCCTCGTGGGTATATATTCTTACCTGCTATGTGTATTACGTGCAGCCACTCAAGTCGGGGAAGAGAGGACGAATGGAAGGAGAAGACAAGGGGGGGGAGGAGGATGGAGCACAGGAGGGGGCTTGGAGCAGAAAACACGTGGCAGGACCAGAAAGACAGGTCAGGCGGGTAGACCCTAGCGAGGGGGTCGGGAAGGCGGGCCCAGGCGGCCAGGTCGAGCAGGCGGGTTGCTGAAGCGTGCGTCGCGCATGAATCGCGAGGAAGTCTCGAGGGATAGCGCGATGTCAAAATAGATGGTGAGGAAATCCAGAGCGAAAGCGTGATTCCTGAGTGTCGAGGGCGTGGAGTCTGAATAAATTGGAAGGAAGTCCCACGCGAGAGCGCGATTCCGTTATACATTGTGAGGAAGTCCCGTGCGAGAGCGCGATTTGGGAATACATTGTGAGGAAGTATCCGGCGGAAGCCGCTGTTGTTGTAAACGGGGGGCTGGGGGCGCTTTTTGGTGACCCCACACTGCCCCTTGAAAAAAAACGGTGCGAGTCCCAGAAGGAGCACCTTAATCAAAACAACAATGGTTACTGGACAGGGGGGAATCAAAAGTAATGATCCTCTAGAAATGCAAACTCGACAACAACAACAACAACAACAACAACAGCAACAGCAACAGCAACAGCAACAGCAACAGCAACAACAACCACCAACAACCACCACCAACAACAACCCTTTTAATACTGTTTGCTCTTACCAGCTCGCGTGCAACTCCACACGCAGATCCCAAACCCACGGTACACGCCATCTTCGTCTTCCACCGTGCCCCCCCCCCCCTAGGGGGTAGATCTTCCTTACCTGCAACGTGTCTTTCGTGGAGCCCCTGAGGCAGGGGAAGAGAGGACTGATGGAAGGAAGGGACAGGGGAGAGGGAGGAGGTAAAACACGAGGGAGAATAGCAGGAGGGGGCTAGGAGCAGAAGACACGTCGCAGAACCAGGCGGACAAATCAGGCGGGTAGACCCTAGCGGGCGGGTCGGGAAGGCGGGCCCAGGCGGCCAGGTCGAGCAGGCGGGTTGCTGAAGCGTGCGTCCTGCATGAATGGCGAGGAAGTCTCGAGCGACAGCGCGATTTCCAAATAGATCGTGAGGAAATCCACAACGAGAGCGTGATTCCTGAGTGTCGAGGGCGCGGCGCCTGAATCAATTGCGAGGAAATCCCACGCGAGCGCGCGATGTTTGTATACATTGTAAGGAAGTCCAGCACGAGATGATCCCACACTGTCCCTTTTAAAAACCAGGTGCGAGCCCACGAAAGAGCACCTTGATTCAACAAATACAGAGGTTCCCAGAGGGGGGGTCAACCACAGTTATCGCTTAGAAATGAAAACTCAACAACAACGACAACAACAACCAACAAATACAACAAATACAACAACAACAACAACAACAACAACAACAACAACAACAACAACAACAAAAATGACAACAATCACAACAATAACAGCGATACCAACCATAACAACAACATCAACAGCAATACAAACAACAACAGCAATGAAAATAAAAACAGCAACATCGACAGCAGCAATATCAACCACAACCACAACAAAAAACAGGAGCAGCCGCAACAACAACAGCAAAATCAACCACAACCACAACAATAACAGAAGCAGCAGCATCAGGATAAATTGGCATGAAGATAATCAGCACTCTCACGTCATCCTCACCCTTTCCTTCTCGTCCTCCTCGTCCTGCTCCTCCTCCTCTCCATCGCCCCTCTCTTCTTCTAACCTTCATCATGCGCTTCCTCCAACTCCTCCTTCTTCTTCTCCTCCTCATTCTAATCATCCTCCTCCTTATCATCCTCCGTCTCTTCATCCTTATCCGCATTTCCATCCTCATCCTTATACTCATCCCCATCCTCATCCTCATCCTTCGCCTCCTCCTCCTCCGCCTCCTCTTCATCACCATCACTCACCACAACCAGCATAATCATGCCCACCACCACTACCATCAGCATCATCATCACCATCATCATCCTCATCACCACCACCACCATCATCCTCATCATCAGCATCATCCTCATCAGCGTCATCAGCATCATCATCAGCAGCATCACCTTAATCAGAATCATCAACATCAGCATCAGCATCATCACCACCACCACCCTCACCATCATCATCATCATCATCATCATCATCATCATCAGCATCATCATCATCATCATCATCATCATCATCACCACCACCACCACCACCACCACCATCATCATCATCATCATCATCATCATCATCATCATCATCAAAATCAGCAGCATCATCATCGCCATCATTAGCAGCAGCATCAGCATCCGCATGGGCATTATCGTCACCGCCGCCACTATTAGCATCGTCATCATCACCATCATCAGTAGCATCAGCATCGCCGTGGTCAGTATCAGCATCAGCATCATCAGCATCATCATCACCACCATCATCTTCATGATCAGTATCATCAGCAGCAGCATCATCGACATTCTCATCACCACCATCATCCTCCTCAGCAGAATCATCCTCGTCATCAGCATCATCATCATCATCACCATGATCAGTATCAGCATCGTCATCATCGCTATCGTCATCATCGTCATCGTCAGCATCATAACCCTCCTTCTGCTACTCCTCGTCCCTATCCCTCTGCTCCGTTCCTCCTCAGTCCTCGGTTTCCTCGTTCTCATCGTCCTCCTTCTCCTTCTCAGCCTGCTCCTCCTCCTCCTCCACACTACCACCACCATCATCACCACCACCATTACCATCCTTATCATCATCATCATCATCATCATTATCATCATCATCATCATCATCATCATCATCATCATCAGCATCATCATCATCATCATCATCATCATCCTCATCCTCATCCTCATCATCATCATCATCATCATCATCATCATCATCATCATCATCATCATCATCATCATCATCATCATCATCATCATCATCATCATCATCATCATCGTTATCATCGTCATTATCCCTATACCTCCTCCTGTCCTACTCTGTGCCCCTCTCATCATCATCATCATCATCATCATCATCATCATCATCATCATCATCATCATCATCGTCCTCATCGTCATCATCATCATCATCATCATCATCATCATCATCATCATCATCATCATCATAATCATCATCATCATCATCATCATCCGATTCCTCCGCCTTATCCTCCTCCTACCCCTCCTCCTCCTTCTACCTTCTCCTCCTCCTCCTCATCATCATCCTCCTCCTCCTCATCCGCCTCCTCCTCTTCAATCCCCCTTTCTACTCCTCATCCCCCCACCTAGTCCTCATCATCCTACTCCCCCTCCTCCTCCTCCTCCCCCTCCTCCTCCTCCTCCTCCTCCTCCTCCTCATCGTCATCATCATCAATTCTTTTTCCTTATGAATAACTTCTCCCTGCCCCACCCCGAGGCCAATCGAAAGGGCGGGCCAGGCGTTTCGCCTGAGACTTCCTCGCCATTAACCACCCTGGCGCTTAGAGATTGGAGACCGTTTCACAAATGGAGGGCGTGTCTTTTCAAAATGTGACTCTCGCCTTATCGCTGCGCATATTGCTTGAGGGCAGCTCCCTTTCAAAATGTGGCTCTCGCCTGAGCGCCGCGCACATTCCTATTCAGAAATTGCATGAGTTTCAAGGATTCCCATGGTCAACGTACCAAAAAGAATGTTTTGGGAAGCTTCGGAGTTTGAGGATGCGCCTGTTACGTTGATTCGCGGTGTCGAAATCCCAGGAACGGCGTTCTGGCACGATTCCGGATCGTCAAGACGCAGCAGTCAGGTTGATCCGTGGCGTTGGAATCCCGAGAATTATGTCTTGGCATGACTCAGGGTCTTCAAACGGTTGTCTTCCAACGAGGCAGTTTCCTCAGTGGACATGAACCCTTGCATGGGCCTGTGAAGAGGGAGCTTGGAGTGATCGTTGATGACTCTCGGGCTTGCACTGGCCCTCATCCTTCTCTTCCTCTTCATTATCATCCTGCTTCCCATCATCATCATCATCATCATCATCATCATCATCATCATCATCATCATCATCATCATCATCATCATCATCATCATCATCCTCATCGTCCTCATCGTCCTCATCGTCATCATCATCCTCAGCCTACGCCAACTCCCCCTCCGCCTCAACCACATCTAGTTCCCCTCCTTTCCTCCTCCTTTTCCTACTTCTCCTCCTCCTCATACTTATCCTTCAACTCCACCTCCTCGTCCTCCTCCTCCTTCTCCTCATCCTCCTTCTCCTCCTCGTCCTCCTCCTCCTCATCTTCCTCTCCTCCTCGTCAGCACCACCATCCTCATCGTCATCATCATCATCATCATCATCATCATCATCATCATCATCATCATCACGACCACCACCACCACCATCACCATCACAATCAGCATCATCATCATCATCACCAGCAGCATCAGCATCACTATCAGCAGCATCATGAGCATCATCATCATCATCATCAGCATCAGCATCATCATCATTACCATCAACATCCTAATCATCAGCAGCATCATCAGCATCATCAGCATCATCATCAGCAGCATCAACATCATCAGCAGCATCAGCATCATCAGTACCAACATAATCATCATCATAATCATCATCAGCATTAGCATCAGCATCAGTTCGTCAGAATCATCAACCACATCAACAATATCAGCAACAGCATCATCACCACCATCGTCCTTACCATCACCATCACCATTCCCATCGTCAGCAGCAGCATCGGCCAGCATCCGCATCGGTATCACCATCACCACCACCATCAGCATCATCATCAGCATCAGCATCAGCATCAGCATAATCATCATCAGCACCACCACCATCAGCATCACGATCATCATCATTAACAACGTCATCCACATCAGCAGCAGCATCATCCTCATCAGCATCATCAGCATCATCAACATCATCAATATCATCAACATCATCATCATCAGCAGCATCATCACCCTCGTTCACCTCATCCGCCTCATCCTCGGCCCCCTCCTCCTCCTCCAATTCCTCCTTCTCATCCTCCAACTTCTCCGCCCCCTCGCCCGACGACGACAAACTACGACGGCGACGACGACGACGACGACCACCACCACCACCACGACCACGACCACTACGATGACCACTAACACGACCACGACGACGACACGACGACGACAACCACGGCCACGACGACGACCACCACGAGGCAACCACGGCCACGACGACCGACAGCCGGCGACGACACGACGACGACGACGATCACGACGACGACGATGACGACGACGACGACCCCTGGCAGCCTCTAAAGGTCCATGGAGGCCTCCAGAAGCTCCCAGGAGACCATCAAGGCATCCAAAAAGCTCAAGATTCGCAATCCTATATCCTCGAACCGCCTTTTCCGCCGCCTCCTCCTCCTTGTCCTCCTCTTTTTCCTCTTCCTCCTCCTCCTCCTCCTCCTCTCCTCCTCCTTATCAACCTCCTGCTGCTCTTCATGCTCCTCCTCCCCTCCTCCTCCTCCTCCTTCTCCTCCTCGTCCTCCTCCTCCTCATTTTCCTCCTCCTCCTCCGTCTTCCCCTCCACCGTTCCTCCTCCATCGTCCCCCTCCCCCTACTTGACCTGCTCCCCCATCTCGCCCGACGAGGAGGACCACGACGAGGAAAAGGACGAGGACGAGGACGAGGACGACGACGACGACGACGACGACGACCACGACCACGACGACCACGACGACGACGACGACGACGACGACGACGACGACGACGACGACGACGGCGACTACGACGAGGACGACGACAAACAACCGACGACCGACAACGGACGATGACAAGACGATGACGACACCGACGACGACGACGACGACGACGACGACGACGACGACGACGACGACTACGACGACGACGACAACGGCGACAAAAGGCAACAACGACGACCACAACAACGGATAATGAAAACGACGACGACAACGACGACGACGACGAAGAAGACCACGACGACGACAACTGCAGCGGCGGCGACGGCGACGGAGATGGCCACGATGACGACGGCGGCGGCGACGAGGATACCGCAAGTTTCCAGATGTCCCTGGAGGCCTTAGGAGGCATAGGGCAGTATGAAAAATATTCAAAAGCCTCGGGCCTCGAACCTCGAACATCCAAGGCGCATCCTCCCCTCCTCCACCTCCTCCCCCATCCCCTTCCCCATCCTACTCCCCATCATCGTCCTCATCCTCCCACTCCGTCTCCCCCTCCTTCTCTCCTCCTCCTCCTCCTCCTCCTCCTCCTCCTCCTCCGCCTCCTCCTCCTCCTCCTCCTCCTCCACCTCCTCCTCCTCCTCCTCCTCCTCCTCCTCCTCCTCCTCCTCCTCCTCCTCCTCCTCCTCCTCCTCCTCCTCCTCCTACCCTCCTCCTCCTCCTCCTCTCCTCCTCCTCCTCCTCCCCTCCTCCTCCTCCTCCTCCTCCTCCTCCTCTCCTCCTCCTCCTCTCCCTCCTCCTCCTCCTCCTCCTCCTCCTCCTCCTCCTTCCTCCTCCTCCTCCTCCCTCCTCCTCCTCCTCCTCCTCCTCCTCCTCCTCCTCCTCCTCCTCCTCCTCCTCCTCCTCCTCCTCCTCCTCCTCCTCCTCCTCCTCCCTCCTCCTCCTCCTCCTCCTCCCTCCTCCTCCTCCTCCTACCTCCTCCTCCTCCTCCTCCTC